AAAAAAAAAAAAAAAAAAAGAAACACTAATCGGATTCTTACACTCTTATTACACTGTTATCATTGTTGCAGGTGACATGGAACCATGTGCAGGGATTGACAAGGGTTGGATCCCAGCTTTGAAGAACGTTGTTAGGATCCCTTAGGTTTGTCCTAACGCTATGTAATGCATCACCTATCCACACAACAACCGATGAAAATTAAGATTCCACAACTACTTATGTGCTTGTTTAAGATTCACTTTGTCGACTTTTGTACAATGGACTTTGCCAAAAGTCTCTATTTCTTATATTGTGTAAAATGAATTACTGAACCACTAACTTCCATAAGTCTCAGTTAACCATCAAGCATGAAATATTTAGCTTCCAAATAAGCACAATGCTTGTCATGAACAAAAGTTTTTCTGCAGATACTCGCACAGAAGTAGATCTCCCAATGACGTCAGTTGAGAGAACTCAAAACAATGTACATTGTATCCGAATAATGAATTTCACCAAGGTCAATAAATAAGATACTCGAATTTGATCCCAATACAGACAGCAACTATCATTACAGGATTTCATGCCAATGGTTAACTAGAACTTATCCTACTAAAACTGACAATCAAGATCAAGAATTTGGATATCAGAAGGAACTTAATTAAATAAACAAATAAGAAATATTTGCCCATAAGGCCATGAACACTATTAGTTCAATGTCACAGTAATTGCCTACCACTGATAATTCCCAAACTATATGCCAAAAATACATGATGAATATTACACAATTAACAACATAAAAGGGACAAATTCCAACCAAATCCAAACCATACCAAGGTTTCATAATTATGAGCTCTTAAGTCCTGAAAAATACCAACAAAATTTTATAATATCCCAAAATAAATAAAAGCATTAAGAAGAATCCAAAAACCAAAGTCCCATTCACCAACAAATACAAAAGGCCCACAAAATATTGAGAAAATAACAGAATAAAAGATGAATACAAACCTTCCAGATTAGCAAAGATACACCTGAAATAATGCCCTAAAAGAACCAACCACACCACCAAACACTTCTCCATTCCCACATACGCCATTAAAATGTATGCACAAGAAGTACGATAAACTCAGCAGCTCATGATACGACGCCTCAGATCCACGCATGGGTAAATTCAGAATTCGAAGCGAAAACCCACAAAAACCCAGAAAAGAATATCCCTAATTTCGCCCCAACTCCATTAGTTCTGCGGAAAAAAACAAAAAACTGAAAGCAATTCTTGATGTTAACGTGCTAAAAAAAGCCCTCTTCATTGAGGTTCAATCCCTATGTTTGACTGCTCTTTAGCTATTCTCTCTCTCTCTCTCTCTCTCTAAATTTTCACCTTTATGTGTCAGTCTCTCTCTAGAGGGAGCAATGAATGCACAGAGTGAGTGTGCTGGGATAATGATCGATTTTTTTTTGCCTTTTGGGCTTTTTGCGTGCAGTGTGAGCAGTCCTGCGAGAGCTGCCCGAACGGTGTAGGCCTGCCCGGGCTGCCCATAGGTCCAACCCCAATACGGCTTCGCGCTTTTTTCAGTATTTTATTTCAAATTTTTGGTTTTACAAAAACCTAATTGCCTCGTATAATTTGGGGAAATTTTTACACATACTATATGAAATAAAAGAATTTTCAATTTTACCTTCTTAAAACCAGTAATAGAATATATACCTAATCAAGCTATTTTATTTATGTGATTGCCTAAATATCAGTTACAAGTCTTGAGAAAGAGTTTGTGTTAGAATGTCGAGATTATGTTAGTGTTAAGTGTATTTTTGTAACGTCCTCCATCCATATCAGTTATCCTTTGGTGGCGTGATTTACTCATTTAATTTTTAACTTGCCCAACTGGTTTTCTTTAGTTCACGCAATTATCAGGTGGTATGTATTGAGTTTATGCTAGTATATATTCAGTAACTGGAATTCTTTAGTTCACGCAACTCTCATGTGGTATATATTGAGTTTATGTTAGTATATATTCAGTATATGTGCGCAAGTGGAATTCCTTAATTCACGCAGCCGGTTTATATTGCGTTTATGTTAGTATATATTTAGTATATGTTGCAATGAAAAAAATGTCTTCCATCAAAAAATTATATCTTCATTTTTTTTTTTCTTTTATACATAAAAGTATATATATATAGTTTGAAAACATATTATAACAAATTACTTAATATAAAACCATACATATACACAACACCAACAAAAAAATTCAGTGTATGCTAAATTTTAATAGATTTTATACATAAAAATTATGTCTCAGGATAAATTTCTTCATCATATACCGAAAATATATTGGAT